AAAATAAGTAGTAAAGTAAAGTAAAAATATCAGAAAAATCTACTTGAGTACAGTAACGAAGTATTTGTACTTCGTTACTTCCCATCTCTGAATCTAACAACAGAGCTAACTTGTTTATCTAGTTTTAAACAGCGGTTGAAGGTAAAACCAAGATTCCTAGCAGAGGTCTGACAAAACCGAGCTAAAGAACCAAGAATCAGATCTGGATTTTTAGTATGAAGACTGACCAAATAATATAACTTGAGTTTTACTTTGATTAAGGTGAAGAAAGTTTTGTTCTATCCAAGATTTGCCTTCAGCTACACAATCTATCAATAGCTGAAGAGATTAATTTTCCCATTTTGTAGTTTAAGGGGCATATAAATCTGAACATCATCTGCAAAGAAATTAAAAAGAAACACCAAACTTATGGAAAATCTGACCAAGAGGCAGTAAATACAAAATAAACAAAATAGGACCTAGAATTGAGCCTTGGTGAACGCCATCCTCTAAAGGTTTGGCCCCAGAACAGCATTGGTCAAGATGAACTGAAAAAGTTCTCTTTTCTAAATAAGATTGAAACCATTCAAACACTGGGCCTCTCAGGCCAACATAATGTTTTAATCTGTGTAAGATTTTGTTCACTTCTGTCTCTTTGCCACACAAATTAAAATAATTTTTCTAATTTTCTTGGACAGAGTATGAAAAATTATTAAAAAAAAAAAAAATCACCACCGGCTTCTATAAGCAAAGCCCCACTTAACAAGTCTGTGCAGCATGTCAAGCCAGAACAGATGGAGAATCTGGTCATTTTATTAAGGATCCCCATCAGCAGTAGTTCACATGTTCATAATGTAGTAAAAAGATGAGATCGATGTGTAAAGAAAAGAAAAGCGCAGCAATAAACGGCGTGAGACAGTTTCTATGCTGACTGAGGCATAGAGGTGATTCTTAGAGAGCGATCTGGGAAGTTTTTCTTTCTTTTTCATAAAGATGTGATACGCTGCTTACCTGCTCTGTCTGCACCCCGTTATTTTGGGGGGTTTTTTAGGCTCATAGAGGATCACTATTTTACTATATCAGTTTTTTTCCCCTCCTGAATTAATTTTTTTGCAAGGAGATTGATAAACTGCGCTTTCTGTCCCTCATTGTTTTTGTGAGGCTCAAAGAGGATCACTACTTTATCCGTTCTCTGTCCTCCTGAACTCCTATAATGTGCAAAGTTTTGTTTTTTAATGTTTCATTCATTGTTTTTGCACCACTCTGTCCTGCTTACTATTTACACTATGTGCGACTCCAAACTGACTAAATTTTATTTTGTATTTTGCTGGAGGTTTCTCCCTGTTAAAAGGAAGTTTTTTCTCTCCACTGTCACTACAAGCATGCTTAGTTTGAGGAATTGCATTCGAGTCAATGAGTCGATGCAATCAACTGGTTTTCCTTAGATAGAAAACTTTGAATCAATCTGACTGGATGATCTGGTTGAACTGTAAAGTGCCTTGAAATGACGTATTTTCCTCCAAAGTAGATGTGTTTTACTTTTTAATCGTAAAAAGATTGTCAGACCCATGAATTGCTAACCTGACTCCGCCAGATGGATTTGCTCCGCATATCCATCTGGAAACCTTCCGTTGAAGTAATTTTGGGAAGGGGCGAAAATACTGGTTAGCTGATTGGCCTATGTTGGTGATAGACGGGCCAAATAAACCAATCAGATCAACGAAGCATATGACGTACTAACAGAGCGACGACGAAAACACAACCACAAGCCAGGCTACTCTTGTTGAAACCAGTCGGGAGAAGAGCAAAAACATCTTTTCCTCTGAGAAAAGCCTCCAGAGCAGTGTTTTGCTCTTCTTTCAGTGAAGAAATACTCTGTAATTCCGATAAAACTTGCTCGATAGCCACGCTAACGCTAGTTTCATCGGCTGAAGCTGCCATGTTCTTTAGACTGAACTGTCGCGCTTCTTGTTGCGTCTCACCTCAACCCGCCTCAAAGCCAACGCTGATTGGACGTTCGTTTGGTGAACGGCTCCAAATTTTCTCTAACGGAGAGTCTCCAGACTGATCTGCGAGTGAAACCTTGAAAGCTCGCGAGATCAGGATGGTCTCACGAGGCTAATGAATTGCAGCGTAGTCTGACTAAAACAGAACTGGGCTCTATCTCAGTCGGAGCTATGCAGCCCTCTTGTGTAAATTCGTGTTGAGTGTGATCATCCCCACCGACTTTCAATGAGCGCTAAACGCCACGGCCTCGTCCTATGCGATTTTCTGTCAGATCAGATGTAACATCGGATTTGGTGTGTTCTGACCTTAAGCTGCTTCGAGTCATAATGTTAGAGTGCCATCCTCCTCATCCCTTCTACTAATTAAATGGCAGCATGTCTCTTTGTTTGCTAACACGTTCAGGTTTTAATTGCTGTCTTTTTCTTGCAGGTCATGTGACTTTTTAGAGAAGATGTTTGGCCTTAACAGAGCTTCCAGTGGGCAGGAGGTCTGAGGAGAGGCAAAGGATCATGGGAGATGGAGGGCCTTTGCAGACCGAGGGGAATGCCCTCCTCAAAGCCGTCTTCCAGGGGAAGCTGCGTCTCGCCCGGTTACTTCTGGAGGGCGGAGCCTATATCAATGAAGGCAACGAACGAGGAGAGACACCAATATCTGCTGCCTGCCTGGGGAGCTATGACGACCCACAGACCCGCCAACGGATGGTTCGGTACCTGCTGGAGAAAGGGGCCGACCCTAACATCCCTGATAAGAGCGGGCGCACGGCGCTGATGCACGCCTGTGCTGAGCAGGCAGGGAAGGAAGTGGTGTCACTGCTGCTGGAGAACGGTGCAGATCCCAGCCTCAAAGACTATTCTGGCGCCTCTGCTCTTGTCCACGCCATCAACAGGGGAGATCGCGAGACCCTGCAGGTGTTACTAGATGCCTGCAAGGCCAAAGGCAAAGAAGTAATCATCATCACCACCGACACTTCTCCATCAGGCACCAAGAAGACTAAACAGTACCTGAACTCACCTCCCTCCCCATGCATTGTGGACAAACTGTCTCCCGCCTGTATGTCACCTTCAGATGTAGAGATCGGCACTTCGTCGCCAGCAGGAGACAAGAGCAAGGAGGGGATCTTCAGTTTTGCACTCACCTCAGCATTACCCCTCCCATCAGCACGGCCTCCAGGTGAGAAAAGGCCCCCTCCTCGAAAGCTCCTGAAGAGGCTGAACTCCGAGCCTTGGGGCCTGGTGGCGCCCTCCATGTTAAATGAAGTTCCTCAGGACAGATTGGCTCAGGGTCTGGAAGAGGAGGGCAGCACAGACGTGAGCAGGATGGTCTCTGAGATGAATGGCCTGTACGTCTCAGACCCGCTGCGACCTCGGTTGTCACGGCGACACAGCATTGAGACCCATGACCCCTGTTCACCTAAACCCATCGACCGGTCCTGCTCTGAGGACTGCACAGGTCTTTCTGCCCCTTCTTGGGCCGACAAGGTCCAGCAGCACCAGATCCTATACCGCAGAAATACAGCTCCAGAGCCACAGGAAAATGCTGGGGGGCCAGTGGCAGTGGCACCCCGTGTTCTGGCACACCCTAAACTTACCCGGATGGAACACTATGAGTCAGACACCCATCTGTGTCCAGAGTCCATCCCTGGATCTCCAGACTCTGGACGGGTGTCTGTGGAGCGTCGAAGATACAATGCCTCCCCCCTCACCCTGTTGACCAGCTCATCCAGGGAGTCTCTGGAGAACATTCCAAACTCTGTGTCCCCCATTACTATGCGCAGGCGCCAGCCCGGTCTCCTGGAACGTCGGGGCTCTGGAACACTGCTGTTGGACCACATTTCCCATACCAGGCCTGGCTTTCTGCCTCCTCTTAATGTGAACCCCCAAAGACCCATCCCTGATATACGGGCCAACGGAAAGCCCACCTCACCCGTCCACTGCGGACACAAGATCCTGGTACCCATGGCCCCAACCTCACCCAAAAGGGGCCTTGAGTTTAAGATGAAGAAGAAGCTGATGAGAAGACACTCGATGCAGACAGAGCAGATGAAGCAACTCTCGACCTTCCAGGAGATTCTGGCTGAAAAGGTTGTTGAGTCAAATGGGGATTGATTACAGGAGGACGCAAAGCATAGTAGGTATCGACATCCTCTTCACCGCTGAGGGAGTCCAAACAAATTTCTGGTGTCTAAATAAGATGGTAACAAACAGCAGCTTGGCCGGAACCCCTTGATTGGACCAGTTTTAGTCTCTGTGAGGTTCAGGTTAAAGGTGAAGTTCTGATCCATCGGTATGTCCCCTGCAGCAATCAGTGATCCCAGTTTGGAGAATCAGTAGTGATGGTGGATATGATAACCATGTGCAGTAAAGTCTGGTTTATGCTCAGACTCCAGGTCGTCTGCGTGTGTGTCGCAGTTAACGCAGATATGCCCCACCCCCTTCTGCAGACATTCTGGTGAACCTCCCCAAAATTGTAGGTGACCACAGACAGGAGGCCTCTGATTGGTCAATTCTACATCTGCTCTACACTATGCGTATTTCCTGTTTGGTACCTAATGGCAGAGACTGTGGCTGTAGTGCCGTCCACAACGCCTGGCACACCTCGGACACTAACCCAGACACCGTACAGGACGCTAGTTTGTAGCTCTTTGCGACGGTCTGTTGGTTAGCACCCGAAGCCAGAACACACAGCGCCACGGCCAGTTTTTGGGAAACACTCACGGGGGAACTGTGTGTCGTCCGGCGTTGGATGACGGGTTGTAGGCGGCGAACAAGCTTGTCAAACCGACACACGGACATCCTGAAATACTTGAAATGCATTTCCTCGTCACCTCTCATCGGTAGCACAAGAAACACGCCACCCACCACACCTACAGTCCTAGCTAGTTCCTGATTGTCCCTCTTGCGTTGTGGCGTGGAATAACATAGCTTCTAAATTGGGCATAAATCAAAAATATCTTCGTCATACCTGCGACAAGCTAACTGCGACACACTGCTGCGGGAGTATACACAGCCCTTAAGGGTCCTGAGCCTCATCAGTCTGACCTAAAGCATCTTCAGACAGCTACATCATGGAAGCAAGAACCACACCCTCTTCAGGTGGGGGCCAGGATCACTGGCCGAGCCGTACAGAGGAAGCGGTGCTGGTTGGAGCGACGGATCTCCTCGACTGACCAGCAATGAGAACCTCCAAAATAATAGCAGCCCCTATCAAAGTTCTAATGTTCTGAACTGGTGATCAGCATCAACAGGAACCCGCGGGGGTCAGAGTTCACCCTCAGACTTTGTATCTGCTTCACGTCTGGAGGGATTCACAAAGCTGTGATGGCCAAGAGCTGAAAGGATCAAAGAAATTAACTGAGACAGATTAGGGAGAAATATCCTCACATCATTTCTGCTGTGTTGGCAATTAGGACCAACCTTCTATGGTGTGGAGGATCCATGGTAAACAGCTATTATCTAAAGTGGACTTTAGAACCATCTCCTGACCCTAATTAGAAGAAGCTTGGCTGCAGGGAAGGTACCGAACTTCTGCCTGCATCCTGCATGTTTTAGATGTGTCTCTTCTTCAAGGCGTTTTCAGCAGAACTTTAAACTGAGCAAGAAGTGGTGAGGGATTCAAACATCTGATGCAGGTTTGGCGGAACACTGAAACATAAAAAAAATAAAATAATAAAAAAAACTGGACCCTGAGGACCAGAGTATCAAAGGCACAGAAAAACCCACAGAACCTCGCTTTAGAAGAAACAAACTGATCCTTTGACAATACTCAAGTCAAACCAGGACATCAGACTATCGGGTCTCTAACGGTGACATTCAGGAGACCAAGTCAGAATGAAGACAGCGGTCATTAAACATCTGCACCTCCTCCAGATGTGGTTTCCGATAAGTTGCACAGACAGAAATGATCTCTTTCTCTGCTGAACCTTCAGTCTCCTTTTGTTGAATGATGAAATAGCGTGGAGCTTTGATAGGCTGATACTGACACCTGGTGGTCACAGCAGGAACAAACCAATCCCATAATCCCTGGACCAATTATTTCTAAATAATCTCAGGTCAGTTTTAATCTGCATCTCAGCAAATTGAAATATGATCAAATTATCTCAATACTTGAACTTAAAAAAATACTTTTATCTTACATCTTTTTTTCTGTCGATTTAGAAAATTCTGGCTAATGGCAAATTAAAACCCAACATTCATTTTCAGAGGAATCCCATCAGAACCGAATGATAAGGATTTTTATTACCACATTATTTCCCTGAACCTTATAAATTAATATGATTTCCTATTTTTATTCGGAGAAACTAAATTTGGTCTTTCTTGAGGTAAAAATCTACATCAATAAACCCTGAAATATTTTACTCTATATGTGATACCTCTATAGAACACCACTTGCTTGTGCTCTAGCACGGCATCATGCTCAGCACATCAGTTTTACTGGTAGTGAAATAAATGAACTTTTGATTTCTGGAGGTCCCCTCTAGATGTTTGGAGCCACAACCTTAATCCTTAACTACGTTTTTCCTTAGAGGAACTGTCTTTGCTGCAATCTCTGGTTCCTCCTCGATGAAGGACAGGAAGTACCTTACTCCTCCTCTGACCTCCTTCCTTGTTCAGAGACTGAAGGGTCTGGAAAGAAACGGAGAGGACTTGTTTAATGTTTACAGATGCACAATTTGCACCGAGGTTCTCCAGTAGATGGACCTGGACCTCCAGGGAACGGACAAAGACCAGGACCTAAAACCTTCACCTCCTTCTGAGGAAAGACCAAGGGCCTCATGTAGGGCAGTCAGCAAGAAAATAAGATGCAATGATTGTGACACCAACCAGGGGTTGGTGTCAGAGGAGTTTTATTCTTAGAGGTTTGCTATGATACCGATAAACGTGCTTAAGTTTTAAATCATTGAAACTCAAACTGATGAAAACCATCATGGAGGGAAACCATTTGAATGTAGTCTGTTTCAGAGTAGCTCAGCTTTAGGACTTTATGAAGGAAATCAGACATTTTTTTTAATGTGTTTTTGGGGTCGACTTCAGTTGAAACCTGACAGACAATCCAGAGTAAAAATAGTTTGTGTTTGTGTGGCCTCATTCAATGGGGCGCAGTTTGTAAAGTTAAGCGGTCAAAAAATTATGATCAATATTTATGGTTATTTAGCTTGTTTTAAGAGAAAAATAAGGGGGTTAAGTCATTTTTCACTATGTCATTCATTCATTTATAAAAATCTTACTTAAATAAATATTTAGTTTGCAAATTAAATATTTAGTTTTTTAAATAAATATTTAGCTCCAAATTAAATATTTAGTTTGGGGCTAAATACTTATTTAACAAAATGAATATTTAGCTAACACCAAGCTAGCTAAATATTTAGCTATAAATAATTAGTTTGTTAAATAACTATTTTATTTGGAGCTAAATATTTATTTAAGAAACTAAATGTTTAGCTAGCTTGGTGCTAGCTAAATATTTAGCTATAGATAATTAGTTTGTTAAATGAGTATTTTATTTGGAGCTAAATATTTAAGAAACTAAATGTTTAGCTTGGTTGGTGCTAGCTAAATATTAGGCAAATATGCAAATTCCCTTGCAGAAAAGCGGAGGTGAACTACAAAAGTAAAAGCCTGGGAAACTATTTATACTATTTAGTTTGGTTGGTGCTAGCTAAATATTTAGTTTGTTAAATAAGTATTTTATTTGGAGCTAAATATTTAATTTGCAAACTGAATAGTTTGGAGCTAAATATTTAACAAACTAAATATTTAGTTTGGAGCCAAATTTTTTATTTGCAAACTGACTATTTAGTTTGGAGCTAAATATTTAATTTACAAACTGAATATTTAGTTTGGAGCTAAATATTTATTTAATAAACAAAATATTTGATATTTAGGTCCAAACTAAATATCTAATTAGCAAAGTAAGATTTTTATAAATTAATGAATGACATAGTGAAAAAATAACCCCCTTATTTTTCCTCTTAAAACATGCTAACTAACCATAAATATCGCTCCTAATTTTTGTCTGCTTAACTTTACAAATGGCGCCCCACATCAATCAAACCCTAACAGCCCATGCTAACTCTGCTAACTTTAGCCTGCCATGCTATCATCATTTCTGACTGTTCCTCCAAAAAGGTGTGATTCCAAAATCAGGGAATCACCTGCAGGCAGCCTGTTAGCGCCACTGCTTGTTTAACTTCTTACCTATTCTGTAAAAGATCTGGAAATGATTGTAAATGAACCATGGCTAACTGCTAACGCTACATCTGCGTAACAGGTTATGTTATGTCTATGTGCCTGACCGTTCCTACATGAGGATCCCGGACTATGGAGTGAATTTTATTCGATTATTGTTGCATTTAAAGAATATTTTTTAAATGGAACTTAAAAAAAAAATAAAATGCATTCCCGAAATGATTGGTTCAAAGTTTTCCAAGGAAAACCAACTGATTGCATTGATTTGTAGGCTGAATCCCTAACCGGTTCCTAACCAATAACCCTTAACTATCTAGTGTCACTCCCAGTGATCTCTCACTCGAAGCTGTGGAAGGGGCCTTGATTGAAGGTGGGGGAGTATAAACAAGAATGGGACGGCGTCTTCCCTCCATCGAATAAGGAAAGCAGTTGTTGCTATGGCAACACAGTGATAAGGTGTTGTTTACTGATATATTTTACAAACTGCATTTTTTTCCAAATTGTATTTCAGATTAAATGCGCTTCTCTTCAGTCTCAAAAATACAATTGTGTTGTTGACATCCAGCAGCCCAATGAAAATTTGCCTTTAATGCTCAATATGTGATCAATGTGATCCTAAAACTGCAATTTGAAAAGAATGCAGCTTGTAAAACTAAATCTGAATGAAAGGAATGTAAAAAAAGAATAAGCTTTTTTTTTATTATTTTAAAGGGGTTTTTAAAAATCATTCATCAGTCATTTCTTAATTTCATTTTTTTCCCCTAAAGTTCCATATGCAAATTTTTTGTTGCTTAAAGAAATAATGGAACAAAGTTCACTCCCTACAAACCACTTAAATACGACCTCCTGCTGACAGACCAGGACTTGGACCTCCTGCTGCAGCTGGACTTGACCTTTGACCTCCTGGGTGTCCATGTGGACCTTGCTGCAGCTCAGTTCTGAACCGTTCTTTATTCTTTGACATTGGATCTGTGTTTAGATAAACTTAGAAATCCCAAAGAAGTGGTAACGGAACCAGAACCTATAAATCTGTAATTGTATATGTGCAATATGAGCTGTGGTATCACAGCAGCAGGGGGCGCTGCGGGACAATGATTGTTCACAACAGAAATGTTGCTAATAAAAGAGCAATGAAGTTTAATCGCTCAAGTTCTTTGTTCCTGTTCTGATCCGCATTGAACCCAAAGAGAAAGGGAGATGCACCGTGTAGAAAAATTCTTCCACATCCGTTTATTAAAATAAAGAACATTTTTGCAAATTCACGTTGTGGTTTTTAGTTTGGTCAGAACATCTGGGGAGTCGCTGCCATGTGGTACCGGCCCTGAATTAACAGGATGACACTTTATTGGTACAGATGAGTCTGGATCAGAATCTCAATCAATCCTGTTTACTGCAACCAAAGCTGGAACAGAACCAGCATGAGAACTAAGCCCAGTTCTGTTTGTGGTTCTCTCAGGAGGAACCTGCAGTAGATGCAGATCAACAGAACTAGAGTGGGGCATCAAAGTGTAGAACTGCAACAGAAAGAACCTCTGATGAAGCCACATGAACCAAACTAGCTAAATCTGGACCAGAACCACCTGTCCAGATGTTCTTGCTCCGAAGAATGGTCTAATTAAACGTTCCCAGTCAGTCAGAAATGTGCTGTGACACAAAAACAGAAAAAAAAGATGTTTATTGATGATTAAAATGTCCCATCATGTTAAAGTTGACCAACCAGAAATAAGCAGCTATCAAGTTTTCATAAAACAATGAAATCTGCCCGTCCGAACTAAGCTCCGCCCACAAATCAGGACAAAGTTCATCAGACATATAAAGTAAAGCTCCAACTTGTGTTTTCTGCTCATCCTGGCATCATGTTGAGTACAGATAGGAGTGTAGAGGGTGACCGCTCACTCTGATCAAGTTCTCAGGTGTCCAGGTCAAAATTGTAAAGTGCAAAGATCAGTGGAAGCATGATGCATCACTACGGTTCATAATGCATAGTGTGGAGTGAATAAAACAAGATAGGTTTATGCACAGATTAGTTACTCTGTTTAAAACCTATTAGATGGAGTGTGAAAGGAGGCAGCAGCAAATGAAGAACACCAGAGATAGGAGATAAACAGAAGCCTCACTCCGTTATACTGAGGCACATTTAAAACAACATAGATAGTAGTGAATAGATATGTCACTCTGCTCAAAATATGAACAAATAAAGCTTCAGAGAGAGGAGATAAATAGAAGCCTCACTCCGTTACACTGAGGCACATTTAAAAGACACAAGGATCACAAGAGAGACGTAAATGAAAACAGACGATAACTTTGATCGACAAACACAAAAGAAGAGACAGAGGGAGAGGGCAAAGATAGGAGTGAAGACGGGAGTGTTTCCTTGTTCATTTCTTGAAGAACTTCTTGTTCAGGAGGAAGATGAGCAGATTAACGTTGACCTTTGCCTTATCGAACATCTTCATCACGGCCACGCCCTCGTACTGCAGCTGTAGAAGATCCTGAGGAAACAACAAAACACCAGGTAGGATTTTGACCTGAGCTGCAAAATTTATCCCCGATTTATAGTTACAGGCTTCAGGAAGATAACCTGACTCCACCAAATCCATCTGGAAACCTTCCGTTGAAGTAATTTTGGGAAGGGGCGAAAATACTGGTTAGCTGATTGGCCTATGTTGGTGATAGACGGGCCAAATAAACCAATCAGATCAACGAAGCATATGACGTACTAACAGAGCGACGACGAAAACACAACCACAAGCCAGGCTACTCTTGCCGAAACCAGTCGGGAGAAGAGCAAAAACATCTTTTCCTCTGAGAAAAGCCTCCAGAGCAGTGTTTTGCTCTTCTTTCAGTGAACAAATACTCTGTAATTCCGATAAAACTTGCTCGATAGCCACGCTAACGCTAGTTTCATCGGCTGAAGCCGCCATGTTCTTTAGACTGAACTGTCGCGCTTCTCGTTGCGTCACACCTCAACCCGCCTCAAAGCCAACGCTGATTGGACGTTCGTTTGGTGAACGGCTTCAAATTTTCTTTAACGGAGAGTCTCCAGACTGATCTGCGAGTGAAACCTTGAAAGCACGCGAGATCAGGATGGTCTCACGAGGCTAAGAGGAAGATTCAATGGTTCTAGTTTATTTCAGCATAAAACGGTTTACAAGGTTTTGATGTAAAGAGGAGGTTGAAACTGCTATTGATATCATGCAGGCCTGGGGTCAGGGGTCAGGGCCCGGGGTCAGGGCCCGGGGTCAGGGGTCAGAGCCCGGGGTCAGGGGTCAGAGCCCGGGGTCAGGGCCCCTTTCTGGGTTGGCTGTACCTGATATTTGAGCAGGAATTCTTCCATGGGGACTCCGAGGAATCGGGCCTTGATGCTGAAGCTTCCTTTCTCTGGTCCAGGTGAAATGTCAAAGACGACGTTCTTGAACCTGAAAGCGGTCACATGTTAGAACATATGATGCCCCCCCCGCCACGCCACGCTCATGGTTTTACGCGCGTGCTCACTGCGTGCTCGGCAGGTCTTCGATCTCCAGCAGCACTCCCTTCTCCTGCAGCCGGGCGGCGCTGTAGCTCAGAGCAGGCTGCTTCTTTTTCCCTTTGCTTTCTGCTGTCTTCTTATTGGCCGATTTACTAAAACACAAACCAACCAATCAGAGCTGAGCAGGTCGCTGAGCGTCGATGTTTTTTTAGCCAAAAGGATTCGTTTCCTCGTACCTGTTGGTCAAGTTGTCCAGACAGGAAGTGATGTAATGCCTGTAGAAGTCGACCTGCTCGCTGTGGAAGCTGCTCTTCTCCTGCAGACTGCCGAGCGTCTGGCGGAGTTTCTGAAGCTCCGCCCCTCGGCGCTGACGATGCAGGCGCTGCTGCCGGATGTCCTGATGGAGCGAACGGAACCGCGGGAGTTAAGGCTGTTACCTGAGAAACAGGCACCATCACTGATGAAGCCCGTTACCTTGGCGATCATCTGCAGGATCTGGTTCTCGGCTCGAGGCGGCCTCAGAACCCCGAGCGCCTCCAGGCGACACAGACTCCGCAGAATCTTCCTCTTCTTCTCCTCCAGACTCAGGTTGCCGTTGGCGACCAGCGACTGGTTCCTCTTCATCTTCTCAGGCGTCTGAGCATCCTGCCGGGCGCGGCGCTGCATCAGCCAATCGTGACACACTTCCTGTTTGGAGAAAATCGGGGCTAAGCTCCGTATCTGGGCTGTTGGGGTAAAAATAACAGATCTGCAGGTGTTTGTTACCTGGTCAGGTGAGGTTTTTCCTCTCAGCAGATCCCTCAGGGAGTCTCCTGACTGAGTCCTGATGACGTCGATGATCAGCTGTTTGGTGCTGAAAGCAACACAGTAACGATTAAGGTAATCAGAGGAAGCCACCGCACCGAGCTTCCTGCACAGGCGAGGCGGCGCTACCTGAGCAGCAGGCCACGGGCGTCAGGTTTGTCCTCCGAGTCGTTAAAGATGTCAAACTTGTTGGTGAGAGTCAGAGAAACCTCCGTCTTACTGGACTCCGCCCCTGGATCAGCCGCCGTCTCCCCTGAATAAGAAGAAAAAAAAATCCAACGCTAATGGGATCCTGGAGCTGACCCGGCATCGACATAACCGGGTTTAGAAGAATCGGAGAAGCGACGGCTGCCGTACCCATGAGCTCCTGAAGCGTGGGGACCGGGCCCAGATCATTCAGGATGAGCCTCAGGGGGTCCGACGGGTCCTGACACAAAACCTCCTGGTGCTCCAACAGCAGCTGCAGAGACAGAGGCCGTTTCTCAATTCACTACAACGTGAGTACGGACTCGTGTTCTTGGTTCTGAAAGGTTCCTCCTCACCTTGTGAGTGTTTAGCAGCTCGCTGACAGAGATGTAGATCACAGGCCTGTTGACAATCAGCAGCTCGGAGTATTCGTCCATGCTGAACCGCTCCTCTGGTTCTGGAACGTCGCAGACGCTGCGCAGGAACGTCCTGTCGGACAGAACAGGAGGCAGAATCAGCAGAACCCCCCCTGACTTCTACACTCCAACCGCTCCCAACAGGATGGTTCATCTCATGTCATTAAATGATCTGCACCTGAACTTGCTGTGGGTCTGGGTGATGTACTGGTTCAGGGTTCGGACGTGGTATCCGTCTCCATGGAAGTGTTTGTTGGCAGCGGCGTGCTGCAACATGCGAGCGATGGATCCCAGGATGTGGCGCTGCTCAGGCTGCAGAGTGGATCCCACTGACCGATCCAGCACGTCGAACCCGTCCGGAGCCACGATGGCCGGGTTCATGTAGCGGTAGTACACCAAGTTGCTGACAATCTGCAGGGAGCAACCCAGTTAGAGGTTCAGTTCCTTCATGGGCAGTTTGGGTCCAAACTTCCAGTATCACAGAACCATGACAAAAAGGACTTAATGTAGAACTAGAGATCTGTCTCAGAGGTTAGCAGCACCACATGCTGGATAGAAACTTTCTGCTCACATAAAATCATGAACCAGGAGGAACTGGGAAGAGTCCAGTAAGGCAGCGACTAGAGCCTCACCTTGTAAAGCTCGCTCTCATTAGCTGCAGGGAACTTTGTCTTCAACGTGTCTCTAAGAACCTTTGCTGTGTAACGAAGACCATAACTGTCAAAAAACACAACAAAGGTCATCAAGAAAAAGTCTGAAACCGTCAACCAATCACCAGCAACAGAACAAAACCAGAACCAGGATGTAAACCAGGGTACGAAGGCGAAGGAAGACATGGACATGTGAGAGACAGAGGATGGGGGTAAGGGAGGACCTAAGGCGCTTGAAACTCACTCAAGCTTTTTCAAAGCAAACAAATTAGAAAAAGGTGGATTATCGTTGGTTTAAATTCAATTATACTTTATAAATCCCTGAAGGGAAATTGAGGCCGTTTCTTAATTCACTAGAACCTGAGTACAGACTTGTGTCCTCGCCAAGTATGTAAAAGAACACAGGAAAGTGTGAACTCTGCTGCATTTCACCTCCTGTTATTAATAGTCTCTAGATAATTATAAATTCTTACTTTTTTCATTTATTGGGAGAATAATAATCACCAAAGTCAGATAAAAACACAAATCATTTGAACATTTTCCCAAATAGAACAAAAAAATTGCATCAGAGCTAGCGGTACTTCACACATGGCTATGCAGAGAGAGGTCTGCTGCGGACGGGCTAACGTTAGCCCTGGCCGCTGCAGACGGGCTAACCGCTGCAGGCGGGCTAACGGTAGGCCTGGTCGCTGCAGACGGGCTAACCGCTGCAGGCGGGCTAACCGCTGCAGGCGGGCTAACCGCTGCAGACGGGCTAACCGCTGCAGACGGGTCAACACTAGCCCTGGCCGCTGCAGGTGGGCTAACGCTAGCCCTGGCCGCTGCAGGCGGGCTAACGCTAGCCCTGGCCGCTGCAGGTGGACTAACGCTAGCCCTGGCCGCTGCAGGCGGACTAACGCTAGCCCTGGCCGCTGCAGGCGGGCTAACGCTAGCCCTGGCCGCTGCAGACGGGCTAACCGCTGCAGGCGGGCTAACGGTAGGCCTGGTCGCTGCAGACGGGCTAACCGCTGCAGACGGGCTAACCGCTGCAGACGGGC